CTTTTCCCAGTTGACCCAAAGCCCCAACCGGCTGAGGTGACTGAGCGCCGTGTCCCTGTGTTCGCACAACTGCACTCGAGACTGCCCGAAGGGGAGGACCTTGTACTAATACGCTCGCCCTTCGAACGCAAGTCCGGCAGAAAAAGGTGCCTTCCAAGACTTAGTAACCTCCTCATGCACTTCCGGGAAGAATGGAACCGGCCGACGACCGGCTTGCGCCCCCAGGGACCAATCGTCCAGCCTCGAGCATTCGGGAGAAGGAGGAGGCCTCCAGTGCAGCCCAACGTTCTCAGCGGCCCGGGAAAGCATAGCAATCAGCTCTGGATCTGACTCGGGCAACGCCACTCTTCCTGACGGAGGCAGTGCAGCCGAATCCTCATCTCCAGAGCCTAGCTCGCCCTCCGATGCAGCGATCGACATCCTGTCATCTGCCTGCGCTCCGCACAAGATGCTGGACCCTGCCCTGTCCGAGGAACCAGCAAACTCGTCCGGGAACACCAGGCGGTGCGATGCGCTAGAGGAATGAGAGGCCCGCGGAGACGTACTCAACGGGGAAGCTCTCACATGATCCTCCGATCTCCCTGACCATGAACCGAAGTAGCCCTCCGAGAACCGGAGGAGCTAGAACGGGGCATGGCAAGGGGGATACCCCCCCCCCCGTTTAATGAGGAGGTATCTAGACCGCAACGCCGCAATAGTCATGTTCCTGCACTGAGAACATGACTCATCCATGAGCGCTGCTTCAGCGTGCTGTAAGCCCAAGCACGAGACACAGCGATCATGACCGTCAGATGAAGCCAGGAAGCGACCACATCCAGAAACGCACGAGCGGGAAGCCATCTTTAAAAAGACGCCCGTCGCTCATGGAGCTCTTTTAGATATTTGCTCTTTTAGAAAAATGGAAACACTCTTTTAGAGAGAGCGCTGAAGCGTCCAGGGGAGGTCGCGGCAAGAGTGCAGAATAGAAGCTGCAGCACGCCGAAGATGAGCAGCACTGAATGGCAACCCCCACTGATGTGCCGTAACACCAACGCTAGGCTGTTTCTTTGCAGACACTCGCAGAGATTCGTCCTAGTAGAAGGCTCGGCTCCGAAGCGAAAAGCTGTTGTGCGTTTGCATGCGCTCTCCTTTTATACCCGCGCTGCAGGGCGGGGTGCGTGTGGCGAAACACACACGCCAACTGTCATTGGCTTGTTTCGTTTACACTCGAAAGTGATTGGGTTC